TACTCAAGTTGCCAGGATCTCTAATCTTGTATGTTTGGGCTACGAATAAATAAAATAGGGTTTCTTGACCACAAGTGCTGCACTAGCTTGATAGTCAATCTACTACCTGAGAAGGCTCTTAAGTGAATAATGTAAGGGTAGTGTATACAGGGTGGATACACTGGACAAAGGGCTAATTGTGTACTAGGTGGAAAGGATTGGGATGATTTTATATTTGATCATACTACTCAGAATGGCATATGATTTTAAACTGACCAATTATATATTTCTAGAATTTTCCACTTAACATGTCAGACTGTGTTTAACTCTGGGAAGTCAGAACTCAGATAATGGAAAACTACAGTCCTTAGTATTGTACTTCACAGCTGGAACATCCACCCATTATTTTTAAAATTTTAGTTTTTACTGAACTTGTACTGAATGCTTTCTAAATTTTGCTGAGAATATAGCAAGTATATGTCTATTACTGTCATGAAGTACATATTAGATTTATTTCTACATCTTAGACTTATGTGCATATACATCTTGACTGTTTTAAATAATTAAAAGTCTAGATCTTTCCCTGAGATTTGTATTGATTATAACTTTTAAAATATTATTCCAATTGGGAGGGGGAAAAGGTTTTGTTAGGATTTTATTAAATGCTTGAAAGTTATCAGGTTAGTTACCAGGATAAATATTATTCCTATAGCAGAGGGTGAAGTGAAAAAGTACAGTGAGATCAGCTTAGACAGGTATGTGGCAGTGCAAGTAGCAAGAGGAGAGCTTTGTGAGAACTTTCGTTCTCATCAGAAAATGGAATAGGAACCCTAAGCATTTAGACATTAAGTTTTGTCTTTTTAGACATAGGTCTTTGAGTTGAGCTAGGGGAATAAATGATTAGCAGATTTTGGGCCAAATGAGGAAAATATACTAGAAATAATTGAAGAATCAAAAGGAAAGCTACTTTTGGGATTTTAAAAATATGATCTAGGCTATCACTGTGGTTAAGAAAACCATCCTGAGACTGGGTGGGCTGAAATCACAGCTCCAGCACTTGCTGGGCATGTTGAAATGCATATAAAGAACATCAGTCAGTACGAGGCACAGAGCAGATACTCCGTAAAGTGTTGTGGATGAAGGTGATTGTGATGATCGATACACTATTCCACAGAAAATGCTGCTGATTATGCCTACATTGTGCTAATAAAAATAGAGTAATTTGGTACCATTTTCAAATGTGTTATCATCCGCAAATCGACAGGATAGAGTTAAATACTGGATAAACTAAGCCAGTGGCATTATTTTTAAATAGTATTAAGCAGAAAAGTTCAGGTGCCAGAAAACACAAATTAGTAATCTAATAAAACCACCAGCTAAAGAGACAGATCCTGTTAACAGTAGTCAGTTCTGTTATTACAGAACAATTATTAAAGTGAAATATTACAAGATGCTATGTATCACAACTAGGTTTTAAACATTCCATTTTATACAGACAGAAAAATATAGATTAATCAGTTTGATAAGTTAAAACCTCCTTTATTAAAATATTTATATCAATTGTATAAAGAGATTAACAATGTTGAGTCTGTAAAATGAATTCTGGGGCACACTGATACACATTCCTTTATAAAGTTATATGTACAAGAAGCTGTCATTGGAATTTCCCAGTGCCACAGGACCTAATATGTGAAATTAAATACCAGTTTCTGATTGTGATATTCTTGTACATTTCTTTAAATCACTATCAAATGTTAAATAACTTTAACACAGTACCACATTATCTTTTGGTTACATGTTATAGTCAATGAATATCAGTGTTTGTAGAAATACCAGATTTTTTTGACTGGATTGGAGAAAAATCAATTCCCCTTCCCTCTCTCTTTTTCTCTCCCTCCTCCTCCTCCTCCTCCCCCCTCCTCCTCCTCCTCCTCATTCTTCTTCTTCTTCTTCTCCTCCTCCTCCGCCTCCTCCTCTCCTTCTTCTTCTTTTTGTTGTTGTTCTTCTTCTCCTTCTTCTTCTCCTTCTCCTACCCTCCTCCTCTCCCTCCTTCTCCCCCTCTCCTTTCCCCATCCTCTCCCCTCCTCCTCCCCCCTTGTCCTTGTCAAGACAGATCGATTGATTATAGTGTCCTCCTCCTCCTCCTCCTCCTCCTCTTCCTTCTTCTTCTTCTTCTTCTTCTTCTTCTTCTTCTTCTTCTTCTTCTTCTTCTTCTTCTTCTTCTTCTTCTTCTTCTTCTTCTT